TCGAGGACATTTCTTATGTATGATATACATCAAAACAGATACTGTTATACTTTCTTCAACCAGTCTAATACACAGTTTTTATTTATTATCACGTATAATATTGTATTGTCGCTTATTGTTGACTCTCCTGTTGATTTTAGAAGAAACTTTTAAAGTACTGGATTAGACCAGGCTATCTATCAATTTTCAGACTCCATTACAGAGATTTCCTAGTTCTTGAGCCGATGCATAACTAAACTGCCGTATATTAAACATATACATTGATAAGTTTGTATTTTGTAGACTAATTAAGGTTGATTCTCACTATACCTTCCGTTTCCATTCCATATCCATTAATATTAACGCTATACGTAAGCTTCCATTCCGTATCAGTTCCGTACTTTTTTATTTTAAAAATTTGTATCTTTTGAAAAAGGTAGTAGATTTAATTAAGAGGTGAAATAATAAATTAATATCAGCAAAATGTTAACAGAGCTGATACAAATGTAAGAACTTGACAATGCTGTTTCCGATACGCTTCAGTCCGTTCGCTAAAAAAATGTATGGAAGGAAAGGATATGGAACGGAAGGGAAACGGAACGGATAGTGTGCATTGTCCTATTCATTTACAAGATATAATATTTTATGTAAATGGAAGGGAGCTGATTTGGAAGATATAGTGAGAATCAACATTAAACTGGATAGCGAAAAATTCTGTTTCTACATTCGTGAAATAATATTATTAGATATGACACGGCGCTGTCTCAAAAAATAAATCCCTGAAACTTTTCCATATTTTGCACCAGATATTATTTTAAAGCTAGAAATACCGCGCATCTATGCCATTCCCAATTCTCTTTCCTCTCTTTCCACACCGCGAAACATCTTTAGACCGAGCCCTGTTTATTATTTATCGCCGTTCCGACTGCCTTTATGTCTGTATATCGAACATGATGCTTAAAACGCACCGCAAAGTCCTTTTTTCTTATTCTCACTGACACCCACGCGACATAACGTACGCAAAGAGATACACGATAAATATAGAAAACGTATGTGGATCCTGCACGTTCGCGAGAGGTTACAGAGGACAGATTTATGCGCTTATGGGCAGGTTATGGGTTGCGGTTATGCCATGCGTCTATGGTCGATGGTAAATCAAATGGAACGATCATAGGAAAGGAGAACTAATGGGCCGGATGGTTGGATGCGGTTTTTGTCGCGCGCGCGTTCGTAACTGGAGTTAATGGAGGATAAATTCGCAAAGTGCTCGTTGTGGTTGTTGTAAATCTTGCTGTTTAGTTCAAGACAAACCGACTTTTAACTATCCTACAATAACTTGTTTAAAAACATCCCAAAAATCAGGTTACTTCCTAGTAGATTTTAGATTTTTATATGGAAGCTCTGGTGAAAGAAGGTAATGACAATGAGAGGCTTTATATAGAAACAAGGAAGCTAAGCAAGAGTAAATATAAAACAACCCCAGAGTTCCCAACTGGCAAAAGAGTACGAGAGACGCGATATCCCCAAAGCTGTTTATAGCAACACAAGAAGAAATCTTTCGTCAACTCGACTGGACCAACAAACAATTAAGTATATATAAAAATCGCTTTTGAAACGTCCTTCGACGTTGTGCGATGTCTAGTCCCGATTGATTTCGTTCATTCCAGTCTCCGTCACGCAGATACCTTGAGCTCATCGCCTTCTTGACACCATCCATCCAGTTTGTCCTTGGCCTTCGCCGTTTCCTTTTTTTGTGGAAGCCAGTTTAGTACGTTCTGAGGCAGTCGGGTGTTGTCCATCCTTCTTACACGTCCATACCACTTCAGTTGGTCACTCTCTATTTCCTCTACTATAGTTTTTGTCTACGCATTTTATCCCTGATTGTTTCATTTCGTACTCTATCCAGCCTTGATGTTCGTGCTAATCTCCTTATCGCGTCCATTTCTACCGCCAAAGAATTAAATATAGATAGATAATATCTTAACCATCTAATATTCGCTGATGACAATATTCCTGAAGGACTACAAGCACATATTAATAAACTAAATACAGCAGTGGCGGTCCCAGCAATTGCCAAAAAGGGGGGAGGTCTAGGGACTATTTTTTTTTTAAATGTTTATGTACAAAAGCAAATATGCAAAATAGCAAATTCGTATATATTTTTTATTAATAATTTACTGAAACAAGTTGAACCAAAGTTTCATAATACTTATTTATACAAAATACAAAACATAATATATATTAATTTATATTATTAAATATTTTTCTTTATTAGTCAGTGCTTGACCAATCTTTTAATTGCATACGCCTTAACTTCATCGAAGCAAATGTGTTAATGACTTACTCATGATCAATATCAACCTCTTTATGAACATACAACAAAGCCAAGCCGCTAAATCTTTCATTCGACATAGTTGAACGTAGATATGTTTTAAGGCGTTTGCCAGTTTGTCAATACAGCCAGCCATGAAGTAGGTCTAAAAATGAATCTAGCAAAAACTAAAGTAATGTAAAACGAACTGGTAGACAGAAAAGACATTCTAGTAAATAACACAACACTGGAAATAGTAGAAGAATATATACACACACCGGAAAAGTCTAGGGATATTAAAATTTTATCCAGCCATCGTCATTAATTTTATTATTTGCATTTCTGATATAATAAAATTAAAATAAACAAATAGTTTACAGGACGTATTGGAAATAAAAATGCGAAATTTACCGAATTTTTCAAATTTACCTTGATTTTTATTGAACTCAAAAAAATACACACATTTTTTTTTATTCTAAACTGTGAATTAAAAAAAAAGATAAAACCATTTTTACTTAATAAAGGGTATGGCCTCCTCTACTGTTCATTACAGCCCTACATCGTCTCTCCATGCTCCTGATCAGGTTGTCGATCTCTTCTTGAGGTACAGCCTGCCACGCTACATTCACGGCCCGAACCAGATCCCTACGAGTTTCACGAGGCATACCCATTCTCAAAATTCTTCTTTGGACCGCGTCCCATACGTGCTCGATGGGGTTGAGGTCAGGAGATTGTGCCGGCCAGGGTAAGATGTTTAATTCATGAGCATTGATAAACTCACTTACCACTCTGGCTGTATGAGGCCGTGCATTGTCATGCATGAGAATGAAGTTTCTCCCAAAATCATTGGCATATGGTAACACGACAGGCTGCTCAAGAATTAATATATGCTGGGAATAACCAAAAAAGACCGTAAAAGAATAGAGTGGATACGATAAAAGACCCAGCGCCAAATTTTAGTAAAAAAATTAATTTATTACCTATGTTAAACAGCGGTTTATCCGGCACATCAAAATTATTCGATTATATTGAATTATAAAGGCGAAAACCGGACCGAAATAAAAACTGAGTTTTATGCGCTTCGGCGCCTCCTAACTGACACAATTCCGCAAAAAAGCGCATTAAAAATACCGGAAAAAATTCCACACCATGCTTCATTACACCCGACGACCAGTTGGTTCGAGTATCAATTGGAATTAACGGTACGACACCTTGTATAATATGTTTTATTAAATTATAAAGTACGAGTGAGTATAAAAACGCATCCCGCGCCAATTGAGGCCCGTTCGATTGGAAAAATAACACAGAAAAAAACGAGAGCCAGTGATGGAGGGAAAAAATAAAACGGACTGTGGCACGTTGGAACCGGAACAGCTCGTTACGAGCTTCCGGTATCGGCATATGTATGTGTTTTGGGTCCGTATTGATGTGGGCGTGGATGAATTGTTCATTTTTTTCATCGGTTTTTGCACCAAAAATATATACACTATTATTTTGAAGTTAAATTACTATATGGTTTTCTGTTAAATACTTAACGCTCCAAAGAGAATATATACTTAAATATCAATACAAACCAATATACATTAATAGTTTTATACTAATACTAGCGTGTACCCGCGACTTCATTCGCGTCGTAATTCGCGTTCATAATTTGTAATAGTGATGATAAAGCAAAGCAAGAATTTCTATTAACATACAAACTGGATAAAATTTTCTCACATGTACGTCAACATGAGAAAAAACAATTGGAATTTGACTTTCGAAAAATCCTTTTGCCAAAAATAAGCTTTTTACGTCAAGCAGTTTAAGCAGAATCGTGGTTACTAAATTACCCAACTTTTTGGAACACCCTGTACGATTTTTCAAAAAATTTCAAAATATGAAAAAAAAAACAAAATAAATTATGCGTGTCCAAGCGTTTTCCCGAAAGACTAACCGTTTTTTAAATAAGAAGTATTGTAATATTTGAGGGGCGTTTTCACCCTCTTGGAATTTGAGATTCGAGAAACCCTTCCTGTTTCAATCCGTTTTCCAAAAAACAGCTTTTTACGTCAAGCGCTTTAAGCAGGATCGTGATTAATCAATGACCAGATTTTTCGAAACACCGTATATACATTTTTAAAAAATCTTAAAATATGTAAAAAAAAACAAAATAAATATACGTGTTTAAGCGTTTTTTCGGAAACTTGACCGTTTTTTAAATAAAAAATATTGTAATATTTGAGGGGTGGTTTCACCCCCTTGGAACTGGAATTTCGAAAAATCCCTCCTTATCGAACCTCTACACCCTAGAATAAACCTGTATGCCAAAATTGAGCTTCTTACGTTGAGTGGTTTGAGCAGGATCGTGATTAATCAGTGAGTCACTTAAGAATTTTATATATTAGTATAGATATAAATATAGCATAAGTAGCAAGGTATATATTGTTTTTTTCTATACACTATTTAGCCTACTTTTACACTTATTAACTTAATACCCACACAAGTAATATAAGCCAGAATATGTGTGTATCTATTTCTAAATGACATATTTTTTTACCACAAAACATATATTTACAATTTTTATAAACAATAGACTTTAAGAACCCCTCTGCCTTCCAAACCGATCACATGTTTTATACAAAATCCATATCCATGTTGTCCATCCGACCCCGTCCAGCGAACTGATAAGACGCCATCATTTATACCAAAGTATTGTTTCTGATTGCAGCGGCCCCCGTCGTCGTCCTTGAGCTACGGAGGACCTGTCAACGATGACGTGCGATCTCCCGGCACACCTGGACCCCTCTCGCAGCCGCCCGCGTCGCAGCAGAGTCTGGACGCCTCGGATCCTGGTAAGTTTCCGTTTTTTGTACCGTAGTTTTGGAGATTTTTGAAATGTTCGATGATGCTCTTATTTTACATCACCTCCTGTGTCTAGTAAGCTTATTGTAATAGTACCGTTATCAGTGGGTTGGTAATCAGCATAATTTTGGAGATTTTTAAAATGTTTGATGATGTTCATATTCTACATCACCTCCTGTGTCTAGTAAGCTTATTATTATATCACCGTTATCAGTTGTTTAATATTTAGAAATTACATCGATATAATTGAAGAATATCATTAGGTTTTTGATGATGTTCATATTTTACATCACCTGCTCTATCCAGGAAGCTTATAGTAATATTACCGTTATCAATGGATTAATAATTAGAAATGATGTCAATATCAAAAAAGATTTCTTCAAATCTTTCATGATGTTGTTATTTTACGTCATCTGATCATTCTAGACCTACCGTTATTAAGCGACTTCTAATTGAAAAGTTATCTAATCTATGATTTTTTTTATATCAAATCTAATAAAAATATATTATATTCGTTTATATCGTTATGTTCCTTTGATACTACGGTATTTCTATTGATATCCTAAAGACTTTATTTCTTCTTGATTATTTTTTTGCAATTAGAGAACCTTTCAAAGTAGCAACTATAAAAATAACTAATAAAAAAAAATATAATAAAATAACCAAACAATTTACCGTTTTCAATCTTGATCGTTCAAAAACTCCAGGAATGCCAAGCACGCCATCTTATTTAACTAAAGTCGATCTTTTGAACCTGAAGATGGGCCTTTTCGATAACGACGAAGGAAAAAAAACCTGAGAGGCGAAAAAAAAACGAATGAACGTTGACAGGAACTAACCGATACCAGAAATTTCAGATTGTTCGAAAACGATACGCCCGAAGAGATAAATCTAAAAATGGCCCTAGAGTTTTTGAGATGCTTGTAGCCGGGTCCGGCGGACGACAGAAAAATTTATCGCTTTTTTTTGGGTCTCTGTGTGTGTTTTTTTTTTCTCGATGACTTCGTGTGATCTATCGAGATAAATTCGGAATGAATTCAAATCTATGCAGCTTGATGGTCTCCGTTGAATTTTAAAGGTTTTGTGCTTTGTTTTTTAAAATGGATACTTTGGAGAGTTCTATTTAATACTTTTTTCCATATTAACTGTTAAAATTGCCTTATATCTATCAAAAATAGTAGATAAAATAGTACTTTAACCCCAAGGGTAGATTAAATGATACTTTAACGGCGAGGATAGGTTAAAAACTTTATTTCTTCTCGCACGTTTTTTAATTGCTGCCATTTTTGAAAATGTTTGTATTTCTTTTCATAAGTTCTTCGGGATTTAAATGGAAGTAGTTTGGATATGGCGTTTGTCACCTCAGCCTGAATATCTGTTGGTCATTTACTTAGGTATTACGTTTTAAGCCATTTTCGGCTCCAATTCAATCAGTAATCGACACGAAAGAGAATTAAAAAATATTGACTCAAAACTGACAACTAAAGAGACAGCTTTATTTATTTGTCAAATTACATAGAAACCAACGCTAACCCAGCTCAATATGTTTTATACTCGTAATAAATTCCTTGAAATAATAATTTCTGAATATTTTTTAAAACGTAACTCGCTATGGAAAAAATATTGTTTTATACACGACGCGACGATAAAATTGCATTTTCGTCTCCCGAAATTAATTCGCTCGCATAAAATACCATTTTATCGTCTTGTATGAAAAATAACTATTTTATTCTCTTAGTTTCCATACCCTTATTCCCTAGACATCGACCCAAAAATAGAAACACACCAAAAAAAAAGGGAACTAGAAGGAAACCCTACGGTCCTACGAAAGGAAAATTAACAACCTCACCAACTATATCGCTATTTATAGCCTCGTTCCCCATTTCTTCAGCTAAGTATAATATTTTTATTTTGCCGACGCCACCGCCGTTGTGGGGGTTGGGAGAGGCGCAACGGAGTCCCAGGGGAGCGCGAGGGGGCCTAGGGGTCGAAGCCCCCGCTAATGGAACTTGTTTAAATAGGACTAGAGCGGAGCAACGAGCTTTTGGCGCTAATAGCTTTCTCGCCGGAATGGGAATGGAAAGCGCGAAGTTTCCTGGCTCTAGGATGACGATGGAGATGGAAAAAAGGAAGAAACATTGGCGTGCTACCATGAAAAAGAAGGGTTTTAAGTTTAAACAGGTCAAAAATCAAAATCACTTGAAGAGGAAATGGAAATAGTGTCTCTATCTTCAAAACAAAAGGTTAAAAATGAAAATATTTTTTTTTATCAAAAATGGTTTCAAAAATACTGTAAAGAGACGAAGAAGAAGTTTTTAGACGGTTCAACGTGTACTACGTAGCACTAAATAAAACACTAAATCACCACAATACGGCAAAACACTTTTTTTTAGTGTCGTTAGCAAATGATTAAAACTAAACTAATATCTACAAGTTGTGAGCGTTTATATACTCGCTCAGTAAGTGGGCGTGGTAAAAAAACTATCCAAGCGAGTCAAAATTAACCGAGCATAACAATCAGTTACAGAAACTAGAGCAGTAGGTACAGAGAACTGGATGGAATTGGGCCATTGTCTCTGTTCATTGTTCATACTATCTTTACATTTATTTATTTTGACGCTGTCATATGCATCTAATTGCCTGTAATTTGAGACTTGTTTAACTAATTTTAAATTATTAATATCTATACACTATTCTTTCTCAACAATATATTCAGCAAAGCAAGATTTATCCGGTCTATCATATCTTATCTGAGCTATATGTTCTTTAAATCTAGTTAATATTGATCTTCTACTTTGTCTAACATATTTCTGATTACAATCTTTACATGAAATTTCATAAATACCCGGTCTTTCTATTGGAGGTGTTTTATCTTTAGGATTACCTAATAATTATTGTTGTAATTTATTATTAGCACTATACACAAGTTTATAATTGACATTCTTAAAAATTATTTTTAAACCATGGGATAACTCTCTATCAAACGGTATTGAAAAATATTTTGACGTATCTTTCTCCACTTGAAAAGCCGAATTTTCGGCAATCGCAAACTTATACCTACGTTTTCTAATTATTTTATCCACTAATGAAGAAGCATATCCATTACACTCAGCTACATTCCTAATGTAATTTCTTTCTATTTCATATCTTTCGTTGGTAAGTGGAAAACTAAGTAATCTATGAACTAAGAAATTTAAACTAGCCATCTTATATTCAACACTACGACACGGCTCATTAGGAATATATCTGCATGTAGTGGTATTTTTTTCTATAGATATCAATTTCCAGGCAATTAGTAGTATTTCTAATAACATCTATCGTTCTCAATTTCATAGGTAAATTTAATGGAAGGAAAACGATTATTTAATTTAGAAATAAAATTATCTATGGTGTCAAAAAGTGTGTCATAAACAGCAAAAATATCATCCACATACCGAAACCGTACTCTTGGAAAATACTCAAACTGATTTTTAGCCTCAACTTCAAACCTGCTCATGAATAGATTAACCAAAAATGGAGACAATGGATTACCCGTTGCTGTATCTTCCCGTTGTTCAAAATTTTTTTTTATTAAATTGAAAACAATTTTGTTTCATACATTTGCGTTCAGTATATTATTATTGAACTGTATATGATTTCAGAAATCTATTTCTATTAACCAAACAAAAACCATTTGTAGTTTAAAAAGTTCTGTAGAGGTAAATTCAAAACATCTACATTTTCTACAAATTTCAGGAATAATCTCTGAAAAAAAAACTAAAATAACTTTAATAGATTCTTTTCCTTCTATTACCAATTGTTTTGAATCAAATATTTCAAACCACAAATCAACATTTACCGATAAAGAAGTTTTGAATGAACAAAACGTCGCACATCCTTACAAGCTCATTAATTACCAATCTAAAAATAACTGGACGTCATTACATTGAACTATTTCACAGAGATATCATTACGAAAAACAGATAAATTGTTGTACTAGATTCCTCGAATTAATAGAAGATTGAAAAAAGGTTCCAATTGAACGAAGTAGAAACGATGTGACAGAGGTTATCAGTTTTGTAGTAAATTGCCTTGTGGCGGTCCGTTTATGATGTAGATCCTACGGAAGTCGCGATAACGCTTTTTCTTTTTCTTGTTCTCTTCTTTTTTCCTGTTTTCTTATTAGAGATAAAATTGACAAAGTCCACTAACTACGGCGGCGGTTTAAATGGCTTTGTATTATGCGGAATGATGCCGAGAAAGAGTTGCAGATATGTAAATTGGAATCGGGTGTGTGGTCTCTTTATATACGAAGACTAGTTTACTTAATGTTGTTTTCTTTGATTCTTCTTTGTCGGACTGAAAATTATATAATTTTTTTCGTTTAAAAAATGTTTAATTTATCTTACTAGTTGTTATAATTTATAAAAAGAATATTATAGTTAAATAAATACAGGAAAAACTAAATATCTACCTATTGGTGCAGAACTATCTAGTGTACATCTAGAAAATGAAGAGATAGAAGCCTGCAATGACTACACCTATCTAGGAGTGATATTTGATACAACAGCTAAAGATGACAAAGAAATTAAAAAACGAATATCACAAGCTAGAAGAACAATTGGCTGTCTGAATGGAGTATTTTGGAGTAATGAAATAGGGAAGAAACGGAAGATCAATATATACGAGACCCTGGTAAAGAGCAGTCTACTTTATGGTGCAGAGACTTGGCGAATAACGGAAGCCAACCGAAAAAAACTGGAAGCGGTAGAAATGGATGCCTATAGAAGAACCTTAGGAATTTCCCTAAGAGATAGAGTCCGTAACGAAGAAATCCAACAGAGGATAGGAATAGAGGGATCCTTGGCAACCGACATCGAACGCCAACAACTTATGTGGTACGTACATGTCCAGAGGATGGATGACACACGACTTCCAAAACAAATTATGCAATGGATACCCCAACATCGAAGAAAACGTGGAAGACCTAAGAAGACTTGGAAGAGTCCGA